ATTGTCGGTTAACAAATAAACTTTACCATTTCTCTGATAAGATAGCCTAAATCCACTTAGGGGCTCTAAATTCAATTTATTTGAAACACGTAGCATTAGAGTTTCATAAGTTAACTTTTGTAAAGACAATTTTAGTTGAAGATTCATGGGTAAAGGCATATATTGTAAAACACCATGAACATTATCCCATGACCCTCCAAAACACAAATCTATCCAAACATGATCAACATTAGATGATTTCATGGTTGTAAATTAATTTACTAAACAGACGAGCTGCGAAACTAAAACCTGTTGCCGGATTGGGAAGGATGTCGTTGGATATAGGAACGGATGTCGCCGGAGAGAGTGATAGATGGAGATGGAATGAGTTGCGATTTAGGGATTTAGTTTATGATTTCAGTGTTATATACCCAAAATTTCAGTGTTGTGATTTACAGATTCTCGTTGCGATTTACGGATTATCGTTGCGATTTACAGATTCTCGTTGCGATTTACGGATTATCGTTGCGATTTACGGATACGCGTTACGATATACGGATACGCATTGCGATTTACCCATACGCGTTGCGATTTACGGATACACGTTGCGATTTACGGATACGCGTTGCGATTTATGTGTTCGCGTTGCGATTTTCATATTCGCGTTGCGATTTTGGAAACTGATTTGCGATTCTGGGGATCGCGTTGCGATTTTATTTCGCGTGCGATTTTGTTGGTCATTTTGGCAAATCCAAAAAAAGTTGGTTAAATCGTATATTAAACTTTTTTTGGTCACTGAGGCGATTTTCTCTTATTTAAATAATAAAATTGATAAAAAAAATTACTTAAAATATTATTATTTATACTTAAAATATTAATGTTTTTTAATATTTTCGATAAAGTGCTCAACAATAACAAAATCGATAGAAATAATAATATTTTCGATAAATTTTTACTTATTTTATTATTTAAATAATAACAAAACCGTTAGCAACTTTTTTTTAACTTTATATTAAGGTTGTCGCACATAATGATTTCCCCCTGTCATTGATTTATTCTAGCCTCAATATATTTTTTAGTGTTTAATTTATATCTTAAAAACGATTTTGTACTTAAAAGAATTTTCTTTTGTTAATAATAGATATTTAAAATTTCTTAAGTTATATTTCTAAGTGTATGGACCATAACAACGTTTGGTTGTTATCTTATACGTGTCATGCATATAAAATTTCAGAAATTATTTTATTTTTAAAAAAATTAATATTATAATTAAAAAAATTCCCAAATTTTACATCTTCTGTTGTCGATCGGGCACCGTCTTTCTGTGGTTGTCACAGTTGACACCATCAGAACCGTCTCGCCACCGCAACCAAAATCCAGTCCTCCACCAACCGTGAAACTTCCTTGGTCATCTTGAAAAACGCCACGAAGGTCGCTAGATTTTTAGGTTTTCTGTTGTTATTTTTCAGGGATTTCAACGGCTAGAGCCATCCATATGTTACACGGTCATCACCATTGAGTTCCTCATCCTACTCCAAACAAAACCACACCGGTGGTAGCCCTTCGCCGTCAGCGGTGGAGGATGGGAGGGATAGGGACAAAGCGGGGTTGATTTTTTAAATTTTATTCTTTTTTAAAAAATGTATAATATTTTTATCATTAAAAATAAAAAAAATATATAACTATAGACGCTTAAAAGTTTAAAAAATATAACGATATGCATCTAAAAGTGTAATAGAGAAAACGTTAGACACCTGTTAGTAGTAAAAATTTCTTTAGGTACCAAATCGTATTTTGAAATATAGTTTAGGCACTAAAAAGTGTTTAAGTTTTTGTTCTATTTGATATAGTTCACGTTGTTGGAATTTTATTAGTTTGTTTACAAATAGGTCTAGTAGTATTAACAATCAGGTTGTTTAGTAGGATAAAACATTAAATTATTTAAGTAAGATTAAAATTTTAAATTATGATATTTGTGAATGAATAAACTGAATTGGAATGATCGATTGTAATGATCTCAACAAAATTTAATCAAAATATGTATTCATAAAATAATATAAGTAGCTAAACCCTAAACCTGAACTGATTTCCCAACTAAAGCACTGTATTTTCAAGTGATTTTTTTAAGAAAAGATTGATGTATAACAAAGTAAGGTTTAAAACTAAGAAATAGTAACTCCTTCATTTTGAACATATTAGCAAAATAATTATAAGTAAACAATGTCTAAATAAATTTCAAGTTCAAAACTATCCAATTTTTAAGTGTATAAAACTAAAACTGGATATCAACATTATATGAACAATATCGATATTATTATTATTATAATATTATAAGAGTTTTTACTCTTAAAAAATAAGAACAGGGTATCGATATTATTATATAAGTATCAAAAAGAAAACGATTATAAATATTATAGAGCTCCAAAATAATCATTTCCTACTCTATTTTTTCCATTTACTAAACACTAGTATTTTTATTGTAACTTTTATTCTAGCGTTTTGTGTGAGTGTGAGCTAATATCATGTAAAAAAAAAATTGTCATGTGAGGATTTTTATGCTTGTTAATGTATTTTATCTTTGAAAATGAAAAGTGTGTCAAAATTTTGAGGTATAAAAAGGATATTACAAGTAGGATAGATCTAAACGGGCAGTGAGGGCAGCGTCCCCTCAAAAAAATTTAAATTATCATGTATTTTAGTATTTTCTATTAAAAAATATGGTCTCGACCCTAAAATTTTATCACCTAAGTTCGCCCCTGAAAGTTTAAGTTCCCCTAACGTAAAATCTTGCTTCTATCTTGATTTTAAAGTTACTTCTATCCTTAAATTAATGAATTTGTGGGATCTTTAGTAGGGATGGGCATGGACCTGAACCTGACAGGTTCCAATTCGACCGATTGTTTTTTTTTAAATTCGGGTTCAGGTTTTTTAAATGTGATGTTCGAGTCGGGTCGGTTTGGGTTTATGGTGAAAAATATCGACTTGACCCGACCCAAAAAATATAATTTTACCTTATATATATTTAGGAATAATTATAATAATACCCCTATATATTATTTTTTTCAATTAAATCACTATTTTTATTGAATAAAAATAATATTTTATTAGTATTTCGGGTCGGGTAAGGTCGGATTTATCACAAAAATCGATTCGGGTTCGGGTCGGGTTGGGTGAAGGATAAAATTTTTGAGTCGGTCGGGTAGCCGAAACCCAACCTATGCCATCCCTAATCTTTAGTGTAGATAACTAAATAATGAATGTAGACTTTATTTAAAAGTCGTCTCAAATCACTTCTCTCAATTTGTTTTAGTTTCAAATATTCGTCAAATTCATCAGTGTCAATCCACCTCTTTAACTAACAAGCAAGGCACATCCAATTACCTAAAGCAGTTGAACTTACCTCTAACAATTGAAATTATATCTTTACTAATATATAAAATATAAAAAAAATGAAAGAAGAACGAGATTAAGTACAAGTTTATAAATGAGTCAATAATGAATTGTTTCGTGAACATAAATGAATCCAATACATGTTTGTTCATGTTCGTCCGTTTATTAAATGAAAATAAGAATTTTATTCACATTCGTTTATTTAACTTAATAAACGAACATAAAAAAAATTATCGAACGGTTCACGAATAATTCGCAAAACACTTTGATTATTTACGCCCCTACCCACCCTAGTGTCACCTGTTATTTAACATTGGTTCCAACCCAATTGGTTCATACAAAAGGTGACATCGAACATGTCCTTTCATGATCTTAAATTATTGCAGTTTCCTTTTAAAGGAATCCAAAAAAAAAAAAAAAACTACAGAGAGAACAGAATGAATTTGAATTGTAATAAGCCAATTAGATATCCCCATCACTTGTTTAGGGAAAAGTTCGACATTGAAAGTTAAAAAGAAGATGAAGGTCAACATTTGCTATTGGGCACTATAGAGTTGTAGAGAGAGTCATAACGTCTCTTTAGGGATGGATAAGGGGCGGGTGGAATAGTTGTTCTTCATGAAATTTAAAATTATTATAAATTTTAAAATTATTTTTTTTGTTTTTCATTGAAAATGATTTCACCCTCTAAAATTTTTTAAATTTAAGCTCGTTCTCCTGAAATTTTAAAAGTTCAAATTTATCCTTTCGATATAAAATCTTGTGTCGTTCCCTATATTTCCTGGTCCACTCTATTATAAATTTTAATTTTTTTGTGTTTTTCATTGAAAACTGATTTCACCCTCTAAAATTTTTTAAATTTAAGCTCGTTCTCCTGAAATTTTAAAAGTTCAAATTTATCCTTTCGATATAAAATCTTGTGTCGTTCCCTATATTTCCTGGTCCACTCAATTTCAAACATAAGGAAGAAAAATAAAGGAAAAAGAAACAAGACAAATCAGTCACATATTCGAATCATACCAAGTAAGGCCTACATTGTTATAACTAAATAGATCATAAACATATATTATCTTATAATTATTTTAAATTATTCAAGTAAAAATTGAAAAGTTCGTTTATTTAATTGACAAGTAAATAATTACGACTATATAAATATAAAGAATCAGTTCGAGAGTCTAAATTAACGATAGATCATGAAGGATCCAAATCAATTGAGTAATGAGACAAATTAATTATGATAAGTTTCGTTTGGCGGATCGTTTTAGGGAATTGAATATCACAATCGCCAAATAATGCATTGATATTCACAATCTGTTATTTATTATAAGAGATGCAGAAAAGATTGTAATGTCATCTTCTTGTACAGATCCAACAAGAAGCAAAGCTAGGTATCTTTAATCTCTCACATATGGAGTATATGTTTATGAGATTATAGGTATCAACGTCTAAACTAGAAGATGACCAAAAGGGGACTAGTAGAGAAACGTCTCGTGAAATTTAAAATTTATTTTAGATTTTCTTCTATATATTTTCTAGAAAACATATGTTTTCGTCTTTTGAAAAAGTTCGTCCGTCCTGCTAAAAAGTAGAGGGGACATTGAATTATTGTTCATAATGAAAGCAATGTAAATATGGGGGTCCCCAATATTTTCTCTCTGCCTGAGAATCTTGACTCCACCGCCGTCGTCTTCATCGGAAACCCTACAAAACATGACCAACTTTTTAACCCTTTTTTGGGTTTCATCAACAACATTCATTCTGGTGTTATTTGGTCAGTTGGCATCAGCAATAATAAGGTTTTGTTTTAAAAACGGTATCAGCTGCACCATTATTCTTCAACAAACCCTTTATTGTTTAAGCGATGTGGGAATTAAAGCTTATGATACTGTCCCCTACGTCCAAAGCAAGCTTTATAAAACCATCATAAGGCACCGTTTGAGCAACAAGTCAACGCCACTGGTAAAAACAGCAGAATTAAATCTAACAACCAGATTTAGCTTTCATTACTGTCTTCAAATCTTTTAAGCTTTCCCTCTACCTTATTTTGTATTAAACGCATCAGAATTTAAGATTTAGGATTAATGCTTATATCGTCCAAAGGGTTATTGGAGCGTTTATTGTTCAATGGTGGAGAGAGACTTTCGAATAGATATTACGAAAGGAGACGAGTATTATTATGTCATGTCCCTATCTAAACCCACAGTGGCGCATGTGACTCGTTTTACTTTTTGTTTTGAGTTTAGGGTAAAGGGTGATTTCTAGGGTTTTTTTAATACTAACAGTAAAAACATATTAACGGCAGTAAACCCACAATCTTTTTTGCAATTTGAGCTCCCTAAATCACCCATGTAATTCCAACAAAGTGCTTTGTCTTTTCTTGTGAAAGATAATTTTTTTAAAAAATACCATCATTATTTCTTTAACAATTCATTTGCTATCTTAATACGACAAAATGTTTAAGATAAAGTATGTGATGTTTTTTAATTCCCAATATAATTCACTTTGGGGATTATTTCCTCATCTCAAGTGAATTAAACAGTGCAAACCTAAAGAGACCTGGTATTTCACGCGTCTTCAAGCTAAATATAAAGACTCCACGACTACATGACGTCTTCAGGAAAATGAAGAAGACCCACGATTGCATGACGCCTTCAAGTAAATTGAGAAGACTTCAGGAATGCACGGCATTTTTAGACTAATAAAAAATCCCTACTTTAGGAAATAATATGGTAAATACCTTATATGAAAAAATTATTTTTCCCACAACCTATATGTGCGAGGAAGCCATCTTAATACATATATGTACACACAAATTTGAATTTTCTCCCTCATTTTTCTTTCTGGAAAATTATTGACGTTGAGAACGAGGGAGGAACATTATATTCTAAAAGCTCATCATTTTTTTCCTGGAATTATAAGAATTATTAAAGTTTTCAATTTACTCAATTTAACCTTTATATTTTTATTCAATTTTTTTTTTAAAAAATTAATTTTATTATTTTCTCAATTTTTATCGTTTAAAGTCTTCAAGCTGACGTTAGTTTTTTGGGTAAATTATGTATTTAGTACTTAAACGATAAGTTTTCATCTATTTTTCATTTAGTATCTAACTTTTGTTTCATTTTAGTACCCGTTAAAACTTAACGTTAAGTTTTGAAAACAATTGAAAGTTTAAGGCACTAAATAAACATACCAAAACTAACAGTTTGCATACTAAACATGTTAAATTTTAACTACGGGTACTAAAATGAAAAAAAAATTAATATGTTTTTGAAAAATTGAAAATTTAGGAACTAATAGTTTAGGTACTAAATGTGTAATTTACCCTAATTTTTTAAAATTTTAATTTTTTAAAAATATAAATTTGCTAATTTATTCTTATTGAATTATTGACATCAACATTTCCTTTTATAACTTTTAATATTTTTTTGATGACTTAGTAAAAAATTTAAAAAATAGCTTATATCAATATTTTAAGAAGGATAAAATATTATTGTGATTTTATCCTATTTTAGTCAATTGAAAAAAAACATAAAAGTTTGAGTTTATAAACAAATGTAGTAAAAATTTAAGGGCTAAACTGACTAAACAAGTAAAGTTAAGGGGTAAGAAAGGTCATTATACCAATTGATAAATAATACCTACTGTAGTCTATATATGATCAATTAGTACGTGTTTACTTTGTCCATTTGATTCGTATTTCACACATGATATTGTCTACATAAGAATGATATATAGCTGACGTACCATCGTCATCATACGATTTCTATAACGTCTACAGTGAGGATAATGTATTACAAGGCTAGGCTTATATCAAAAAATAAGTATTTAAATTATATTAATTTTTTATTTAAATATTTAAAAAATACTTAAAGTTATTGTATTTCTAATTTAAGTGTCCAATGTATTTTTTTGTTGCCCTCATGTTTCAAGGATTCGCCTTTGTTAATTTGAACCGACCCAGATAGCATACTTGGTTTTGGGGGTGAGTCTCCTAACGGGGATTTTTTGCATACACAATGACTCGAACCTGAGACCTTTGCTTAGGCGATATGAAGTTGCTTACCACTTGAACTAACATGTTGGTAGTGTCTAACATATTTTTTTTATCAAAAAAAATAATTAAATATAACATATTTTTCATATAGGTTCTTAAAAGTTGACACTAACATTAATTAAAATATAATTTAAGTATTTATATGAAAAAATTGTATACTTTATATACGTATTTTGAAAAAAAAATATATAATACAAAGTATTTGAATCCTTTATATGTATATTTAGCAACCACAATTGCTACTTTACAAAGAGTTTGTTCAATGTGGAAAGTAAAATTAAATATATGTGTATAATTTCTCACCATAGAAAATCTTCAATTGAAGCTCAAGCTGACAAGGGCTATGGAGTTTGTCAAGTAAAAGTGCTACATGAATGCTAATGAAGCATTGTCTCAGGCATGGATGGAGGCAGTGGCGGATCTAGAAATTAAAAAATGTGGGTCCAAAATTTTAATGCTCATATTCTAAAAATTTTGAGTATGCAAATTTTTTTATTTTTTCTATTTTCATTAACAAATTAAACTAAATTTAACACTTTTATCAAAATAATGGGTGTGCAGTGGCCACATACATCCGCCCCTGGATGGAGGGTAGACCTTTATCCTTTTTAAAATTTTAAATTATTATATATTCAATATTTTTATTATAATTTTATTAATAATATATTTTAATCTTTTAAAATGTTATTTTTTAACATAAAATTTTACGTTTATCTCCGATTTTATGGTTTTGGTGACATTTTTTTTTTAATGAAGCACTTCATTTAAAAAAGATTGCAAGTTCAATGGGAATTTTATTCCAAAAATCAACCCAGTGAAGCCATGCATTGATAACTATCAAAAAAGGGGAAATGATAAAAAGAAGTTGACTGATGCATAGTGATTGATCGTCTGCTGCATGCTAACGCCGTTGAAGAGAAAAGGAAGGAAGAAAGAAGAAGCATTTATTAGCAAAAGTGAAGGGAGTTTAATAAGCAATCAAGCATTAATGAACCAATCATGAAAAGGAAGAAACGAATGGTCCCTCTTTCTGCAAGGTCAGGGCTGAGAGCCCCCACCCTTGTAGGGTAGTCTTTTGAGATCCCCAATTGCAGTGGGTTAGGGCAACCCAGGCGATTTTTTTTCAAAAAATCATCTTTTTATACTTTATATACAGGTCAAACACCCTTCTATCTTTATTTACCGATCTAACACTCTTTACAGGAAGACGCGATTCCTTAAACGCGTTTTATGTTGATCTGGCGCCACGTGAGATAAGGCGCCCTCTAAAACACGCCTTGTAAAACGTGTAAAAAATCCAATTGTTAATTTTATAAATATTTTTAAAATTATGTCTAATATGTAATTAATTTCTATTATGATGATATTTGTGTAAGAACGTCAACTTTATTTATTTATTTTTTGTGTTATATAATTTTTAACAACAATTAATAATTTATTGACTTTTAATATTAATTGTTTATAAATATTAAAATAAGCTTTTAATTACAATTGATAGATAAAATGAATTGTTATTCACTTTTTTTTAAAAATCAATAAAAATGCAATAAAAAATTAAAATTCAATAAAAAATATAAATTTAAAAAATATCACCTCTTTATTTAAAATATTCTTTATAATATTAATTTTAAAAAATATAAAATAAATATTAAATTTTAATTTTATTAAAAATGAATAAACATTATTAACTGTTGTTAAAAACTTTAAAAGTTTATTTTAATATTTTTTTATATTTTTAAACAATTAATTTTAAAAGTCAATAAATTTTTCAAAAATATTTTAAAATTTATAATTTTTTAAATTATAAAATATTTATCATCATCGTCATCATCATTTTGGAAAAAAATACTAGCTATAAAACTTTTATAAAATTATTCATATTTTAAAATACTTACCCTCAAAGTTTTCCTATACTAGATTATACGTATTGTGTAATTTAATGCAAAAATCAAAATTTGTTGAGTTATAAAATAATTTGCAAAAGAATATTTAAAAATTTTAATATAGAAAGTTTTTTTTTACACACAAAAAATAAATAAATAAAGTTGACATTTTACACAAATATTACCCTAATAAAAATTAAGTACATATTAGATCATTTTAAAAATATTTATAAAATTAATACCTGAATTTTTTACACATTTCACAAGACGTTTTTCAAGAGCGTCTTACCCCACTTGACGCCGAATCAACATAAGACACGCTTCAGGGGACGCGCTCTCCTATTAATGATGTTAAGAGAATGTCTACCCTTCTTTGGAACAAACATCTGTTGCTTCACAGCTTGGATTCCCCCTCCCTTCCTTAAACCCTAAACCCCACTCTTCTTCTTCTTTATATATAATACTATTTATATAAGATTAAAAAATAGAAATATATTGTAATCGAATTTTTTTAAGAGTACAATTTTTAGAGTAGTTTAGGTAATAGTTTAAGTCCGAAATTAAAAATATTATATTTTTTTATAACAGTTCATGTAAATTACATAAATATTCTAATTGCAACCTAAAATAATAGCGTTGTATTGCAGTCATCAGTGCTCGAATCCAAGACCTCTAAAAATAATAATCATCTCTTTAACCACTGAGGTAACTTAATTCATTTTATTAACCAACCTATATATAGCTAGGTTTTATACTTTGATTACATTAACACTACTAATTACTAAATGGTTTATGTACTGATTAGTTGAAATTTATGAACATAATTGCAATCATGACAAGGTTTTCTTTTTATTAATTTGAGAGAAGTACAATATAGTATTTATTAGACATTAAATACTTAACTTTTATGTTCGAATCTAAGATCTTAAAGAATAATAATAATTCTTTTACTACTAAAATCGCTTAGCTCATTCTACCTGAGTGTGCTTTAAATAAAAAGAAAAAGTTCATATTTGTTAACAAGGAAATAATTAGATCTATAAACATAAATGAATACAATTGAATTCATTATTATAGGACAATGTTCATAAAACAAGTTAAAGAAAATTCCAAAGTGAGAGAAGTGAGAATTTTGGGGTAGAGAGTGTAGTGCCGGTGACAGAGGAGGCAAGTAGCCGGGCGCCTCAGATGCTTTTCACCTGTCACTCGGACTTCGGTTACAAGGGGACCACCATGGAGCCGAGGTGGTCCTTTTTTGTCATTTGCCACGTCATCCCACCATGTTTTTTGGGTGGAATGATGACCATGTCAGTGTCATTGTCATCATGATGATGATACATTAATTAATACTCCCTAATAATTGGGTTTTGCCCAATTTACTAAAGGGTTTTTTTTAAGTCCATGGAATTGGGCCTTTTGTTGTATTCTTCATTTTCCAACATGCTTTTCATATACCCAATTTGGTTATGTTGATGGATCATGTGTCGAGGTTTCTTTTCCTCTCATCATCGTCATCTCACTTGCATAATATTTATTGTATATGTCTCATGACTCACTTCATATAAAATATTTATAAAGTATCAACTAAATATTTACATAATATCAAAATACAATGATCGAAATAGGTTCGTTAGCGAATCACCCTATTCCCATCTGTAATGGGGTAAGGGGAGGTAGGATAGTAGGCTGCCCCCAACTCCAGGTTGAGAGCAGTTTCCGTGGGAGACCTCCGACAATCATAATTATGAAATGCCCACCATAGGACTCGTCCCACAACCACAAGGTTAAGAGCCTTGCGTTCTACCAACTGAGCTGGACGGGCAATTCAATCAGTGAATCAAATATATATGTTCTAAATATTATGATTGTAATTTTATTATTATTCTATACACTAATGCTACAAAAATATTTCACAGGTGAGATTCAAATGCTTCTATGTGTGCTATTTAAGGTTTAAAGATTAGAGTAAATTACAAATTTGGTAATTAAACTTTATTCTATTTCCTATTTCATTTATTGTACTTTATTTTTTTTTAATTTTTTCACTGGATTTAATACATTAGGTTTTTTGGGTCGCTCGGTCTTTAAATAGTAAACAACGTTAAATGGGTCGTTAAATAGATGCAAACGACGTCGTTTTGGTGAAAATTTCGTTTTCTTAAAACATCGTTTTTAATGTTGTTAACTATTTAACGACAGAGTGACCAAAATAGGAGAGAGAGTGAAGTTCGGTGACAAAAAAATTCAGTGTATTAAGTTCAGCGAGAAAATTGAAAATTTTTAAAGTTCAATGAACATAATAGGAGAAAGAGTGACCACTATATAACAATTGATATTCCGATAACAGACTGTCGTTTAAATCTCCGAGCTGAACCTCTACTCATATTCCCAGGCCTGGGCAAGACTAGAGACATAGTTATTGCACCTGATATTATAGCATAGTTAACACGATATTCCTTCGTTTCATAAAAGCATGATAGGTGAACAATTTTAGTACTTCAATGCTCTATCAATGTGAGATTTCTTAAATTTATATTCGACATTTTCCCTTCTCGTCTTCTTCTCCATTCTCTATTTAATTTAGCATTTAAAAAATTAGGATTTAAGTTTAACAAGTAAAGTTTATGTATTTTTTTTAATGCGAGTCAAACGGCTGGTAAGGGCATGGCATGGGCCACCATAACTAAACGTTCCATATCAACATTTTTTAAATGGACTAACCAATATTAATGGTTGATAGAAAAATTTATTATATAATATTAGGTAAATTATATAAATGGTTCATGACTATAAGGTATTTTATTAAGTCATTCGGTTATTTAAAGTTATAAAATGATCTTCTGACTATAGAGTTTTATTTTGTTGAGTACCTTGACTATTGAAAGTTACAAAATAGTCACTTAACTATTCATTATGTTCCAAACTCATCCATTTTCGTTAAAAAATTGATAGTGTTCTAAGTTGAACATTAATATGTTGATTGTGGTATGATAAAATTTGATCCCAGAGTCTCAAACAACTATCATATCTCAGTCATCATACTAACATCCGGCTTAAACAAATGCCAATTTTTAACAGAAAAGTACGAGTTTGGAACATAATAATTAGTCAGATGATCATTTTGTAATTTTTAATAGTCAAGTGACTTAATAAAACAACATTCTATAGTCTTAGAATCATTTTTTAACTTTTAATAGTCGAGGGACTTAATAAAGTAGGACCTTATAGTCGGAGGACCATTTGAGTACTTTACCCTATAGTATTAGTGGCCATTTTATAACGTTTTAAATGTAAGTGGTAGAAAAGGAAAACTACCCAAACATTAGTGACTGTTAGCGTAGTTTACTCAAGAAAAAATCCATGCACAGTTTGGCAATAACGGCAACCTAAGGTCAGCTATAAAACAAGAGAGTGCAGCCAGAAAGTGCATTGAAATTGAATAGGTAAAACCCAAATTCACTATCAAGGAAGACAACAATTTTCACCATTATCAATCCTTGAATTAGCATCTGTTTGTTTGAAGGGAAAAAAAGAAAACCCAGAGCTTGAAAAAACAAGAAAATAAGAAGAAAAAGTACGTGAGAGCTGCGCCACCGACAGATCTTAACAAGAACACGGAGTGGTTCATGTATCCAGGAGTTTGGACCGCTTACATTTTGATCGTCTTCTTTTCATGGCTCATGGTTTTATCTCTATTTGGTATCTCTCCTGGAACCGCTTGGACCGTTGTTCATCTCACACATTTCTTTGTAAGCTCTCTTTTTTTCTTGTTTCTTTCGATTTCGATTCTTAAAAGTTGGGGTGTTTTTCTTGAAAGATTCTGATGATTTATTGAGACTTCAGGAAGAAAACATGAAAATAATTAATAATTTTGGGATTATTTCGTTGACTTGAGAGATTTAGTGGTACCCAAATTGCACCTTGGAGAGGAATAATTGATAGTTTGACTTTTGAGTTTGTGCTTGCTAATTTGTCCTGTTTATGTTCTTTATCTGAAGATGGCGATAGATTATGTGATGGGATGACATGAACCGGTAGTTTTCTTGGTATTATTTAGGTTAGGCACTTAGGCTTGAATGGTGTATTGGTAGTAAATTGCATCCCTACAAGAGATGGATTTCGATCCCATTTTTGTTTAGCTACCTTCATCAATCAGTATGCTTTGGTATCATAAGTTTCTAAGCCCATTGCTTGTCAACCTCTTGGGATAGTTGTAAAGGGTTAATTGACAACATATTGGTTGTCGTAAACTGTTTTCCTTTTTCATGACTCTTGTGCAATACTTTTCTATTTGTCTTAATAGTTTTCTTGATCGCTTAATACGTTCGAATGAATGGAAATCCGAATATTTTAGTTCATTACGGTTTGCTCAGTAGCAACCACCAGTAGTGCACCTGTGATTATCAACATCTTTGCATGTCTGAATCGCCTATGATGCTTGAAATTCATCTGAATATCTGATATTCCCCTCTATATTTTCATCTCTATGTTACAATTTAAGTTCTTCAAAGTGCTGCTTCTAGATGCCTATACAGTGTTAAAGTTGCATTTTGACTCCCATAAAGATTTATAATTCAAGTTCGTCCCCTTCAAAAAGTTTTTGGCTTTACCCCTTTAAATAGCATACATCCTCTTTATATATGTGAATCAGTTTATTGTTTCTTTTCAGGCAATAATAAATTACAAATCTAGTTAGAATTTTCAGAGGGTCAAGAAATTAGGCTGCACTATTTACTATAACAGTTATAAATGCTGTAAGTTTGTCAACTCCACGGTCTATGTTTCTTAGTGAGTTTGTTTTGCATGGATTCACATCTTAATTTAGGTTACATATCACTTCTTTCACTGGAAAAAGGGAACTCCGTTCGCCGATGACCAAGGTATCTACAATGGTTTGACTTGGTGGGAGCAAATGGACAATGGCAAGCAACTCACTCCAAATAGGAAGTTTTTGACTGCTGTACCTGTCTTGCTGTAAGTGTTCGCTTTCCACTATATGTGCCTTTATCAGAAAATGGAACTAAAAATTGTGAGATTTTTATTTATGGATCGGATCATTTCAATAAAAATTAAATGATACTTGATTAGGATGCAATATATGGACTTGTGGTTAACCATTGCCACAGCCATGAATATCGCATGTTATAGCGTAGCATACCTATATAATCGATTTGCAATTGCTCAAAGGATTAGTTGGAATGAACTTTCCCTTACGACAGAAATATGAATCTCCATCAATATCAAATATTTACCCTGTCAGGTTAAGTACTTCGCAGCTTACACCTGTTGATATGGAAGAAAAACAGCGGCTACTTTCCTTTTGTCGGATAATGTTTAGATGGAAAGTTTCAAACAGTATGATACCTTGCTTAGTCGGTTAAATTTTGTGTATACTTTGCATTTGACATGATTCTTCTCAGTGACATTATTGTCTCGAGTCTCGACGTCTTGGCATGCTTCCATGGACCTTGTGAAGTTGATTGAAAAAGCTCCGATATCGTGCAGCAGACCTCCTTTGCTATTCCATGAAAAGTTCATTGCTTTTCTGTTTATCGAGTTCATTGCTTTCCTGTTTATCGAGCAATAGTTTACTACCGCATTATCTGCTCTCTCTGAAATGGAAATTTTGCCACTTCGTTAGCTATGAAGTGATGAAATGCAAGACATAATACAATTAACTTATGAGTTCTGATACTTCTTTTATCATTGTTAATGCCATCCATTTCTTACCCTTTATTTTACTTGCCAGGTATCTTATCGCCTCACACACAACACATTATCAAAACCCGATGATGTTCTTCAACACCATCGTTGTTTCTGTGCTGGTGATTGCAAAGTTCCCAAACATGCACAAGGTCCGAATATTCGGAATCAATGCCGATCATTGAACTGCAAAGGTGTTTCATTATTCTGTCATTCCAAAGTAGAATTGTTATATCACTACAGATAATGAAGACAGGGAAGGGCAGATTCACATTTCAGTTCAACCAAGTGAATACATACGTGTAGCTCGATGGCAAGGAAAAAATACATTGAAAGCCCTTGAGATTTTCTCCTGTTGCATGCTTACTCCAGAAATTTCATTTACATTCATATATTTTGGTTCACTGAGGTGAAATAGTTATCAAGAGAATCTACAAGCAGATTTGCTCCCTATGGGTTAACTTTTTAGTACCTTTAGTTCTTCATGGTTTTCTTGTTTCTTCAATTCCTCTTTATTTTTGATCTAATTTAAATCACATATTCTTCTAATAGATTACTTATGTAACTGTAATTTTTCTTTTTGACAACAAATTATCTCCTTTTATACTTTCGTCTCTCAAGTTTATATTTTATTCAATTTGGTCCTTTTATTACAATTCTCTGTCAATTTTTTTTGCATCAATTTATTAATTCTTTTATACACTCATCAATACTTTAGCACCTAAATATATTCTTTAAAAAATATCATTATAAATATTATATAATTTTAGATATTATTTAATTTATTGAAAAATATTATAAATTTTACTTGCACATGTAAAAAAAATAAATAAATATATTTTATTTCAATTGACTTGGAAAAACATTTTAAAAAATTATATGATTAAATAATACTCATCCACTCAATTGCTTTAACTTTTTTTTTCATTCATTTCAATTCTACTCAATCAAATATCCATCCCTGTAACCAGTCACACCCATTAAAGTACAAAAGGTTTGAGATTAAAAGCCCCATGTACCATTACACCCATTACTCTTTGAAATCTGGCTAAGGTCCAAGGCAAAGTTCAGCCCACCAGCTCCACAACTAAAGATAGACTTAAATATAAAATAAGTGTATTTTTTTTACGAATAGATGTTTAAATTATTTTTTTGAATGACCTCAGTGTCTAACGTCACAAACGTTACCACTTTAAGTGTCCTGGTTGTCATCGTCGTTAATTTCATCCGTTAAGTGGCACATGTTGCAATCTGATAATTTTAAAAATACATAGAAATTTTGAAATAGCCCCAAAGCTTTGAAAATCTTCCTTACAACCCCTAAACTCACATCGGTCGTCGCCCTATCGACGAAGCTCCATCTGACTTCACCTCCCCCAACGACCAAAACTGCTATAAAATCGTGGTCGATCGACGACAAATCAATATTTTATACCACACGAATGTTAGGATGAAAATCGTGATCCCACGCGATTCTGGCAACCAATTGGCGGCAACAACGACAATGTATTTTGGAGATTTTGGAGTTTTTTTTTTGTAATTTAAGAGAAATTAGCGTTCTTTTATAATTTAATAATAATTTAATATTTTTTTAAAAATAAAATTTAAAATTACTAAAATGTGACACGTGTTACTTAATGACAGAAACTAACGCTGTTGACGGTCTAAACACCTAAAGTGATAAGATTTATAACGTTAGATGTCGAGATCATTTAAAAAATAATTTAGGCATCTATTCGTAAAAAAAACTATAGTTTGGACACTTATTTTATATTTAAGCCTTAAAGATAATATAAAGTATAAATAATCCTCCAACTATAGGGTAATATTTTGTTAAGTCACCTGACTATTAAAAGTTATAAAATGATCATCCAACTATAGGGTGTTTTATTTTGTTGAGTCCCTCAACTATTAAAAGTTATAAAATGGTTACCCGACTATTCATATGTTACAAACTCATCATTTTTTATTAAAAATTTGACAACAATCTTAGCTGAATGTTAACTTGCTGATTGTGATATGATAAAATATGATCTCATTATCTCAAACGATTATTATATCAGTTCATCATATTAACGTCAAGTTTAAACGATCGTCGATTTTTTAATGGAAAAAGACGAATTTAAAATATATGAATAATTAAGTGACCATTTTATAATTTTTCACAGTTAAGAGACTCAATGAAATAATATTTTATAATTAAAAAATTATTTTATAATTTTTAATAATTAAAATACTTAGTAAAATAATACTTATAATAAAAGGATCATTTATGTGTTGTACCATAACATTTATTACAATGATAAACATAATTTAGAAAGGTAGTTTGTTTGACACTTGGCTCATATCAAATCTCAAAGTTAATAAATACTTGGGCGGCCCCTGAAGTCTTAGGAAATGAAACCTATCTGTCCTATAAGCACTTCTGCTGTAACCGGCTTTTATTGGCAGCGCTGCAATCTGCAGTGTACATAGTTATTGCAAATGTCTACAGTTCCCACTTTCTGTCATCAGCTTTGAACAGGTCGCCAATGCTTGCACCTGCCATCTAATTAACTGCTCAACTATTAATCCAGACCTCGCTAATTAGACCCTAAAGACGCATTCATTAATATCGGAATGAACCTCTCAAAAATGGCAAATTTATGGTGAAATTTTGAACTATTCTTATTTCATGAATTAAGTAATTTTAATAATTAAGAAATGATTATTATTAGTAGAGATTATGAATTCGAACACGACATCTATAAGAATATTTGAACGTTCATTATAATCACCTCAAACTAGTAAAAAAATATGAGTGGGGCTTTGCGATGATGACTTCATCTACAAACGACAGAAACACCGTTACATTCTTAAGAATAATCATCAACGTCAACGGATTTATTTTTTTCCCTTAAAATGAACCCATCATCTTTTTCTCAAACTACCACGATCATCGTCGACGTTTTTATCTATTAACGGCAAACAACAAAAACATTAACACATTTTTACCAAACAACCTTTAGTGTTCACATATCCTAACTCTATAAATTAAATATTATTAAGATCGAAGAAAATATCGTTCTTTCTAAAAATTTTAGATTCAAATAATTATATCCGTAAAGTATGTATTATCAATAAATTAAATAAAAAATTGGATAAATGCTACTCTCGTAATCGTTCCTACTAAAAAAAATTCAATACTCCAAAATGAAGGAAAGGCCTAAGCGATGAATGTGCCAATAGGTATCAATGGTTGCATTGGTAACTTTATTATATGGAGCTTTTTACTTCGTCAGAATTCTGACTTGAATCAAATTTAGATCTTTTCGAGAATTGAGTGATTAAATTAAAAAAAGTTTAAAGTTTGTTAATCAAAATAGAAGTGAGATAAAAGTCGAGTAATGAAATTATAATTTACCTATTGATATTAATCCTGATTAGAGTTTCCAACTACTCTAATCTCAATCAAAACCCATTAAGCTTATATGCTCACATAGATGATGCTAGTGTTAATAATAGTAGATTAGATCTAATCTAATGTACGTAGCTGTGTATCTACTTGTCTTTCATGCCATCTATGTATACACGAGAACTATATATATATATATATATATATATATATATATATGGATATGATTCATTCACGAGAACTATATATATATATATATATATATATATATATATATATATATATATATATATATATATATATATATATGGATATGATTCATTCACACCCGAGATAAAATTAAGAGTTTTACATTTTTCTAAGATAATTAGATGAGATAAATCAAATGTTGAGATTATGAGACTGTTTGTTTATTTCATAATGTCTAAGCACTGAATGATTCAAATGTTGAATGATTTAGAAGTTCTGTATGAATTAGCTCTGAATGTGACATTCTGTTTGATAATGGCTCTGAATCATTCAGAATGTACTTTTGTGCTGAATCATTAAGCACTGTTTTGCTGAATCAGCCAGCACTGAATCATTTAGAGATACGAAACAAACACGCTGAATGTTGAACGATTCAATATTCAACGCTGAACAATTCAACATTCAACGCTGAACGATTCAACATTCAGCGCTGAATAATTCCATTAAGAGACAACCAAACAGCCCCTAACCCTAAGAAGATAAATGAATCGTAACCTATATTGCTATCATCTTTCCTCTTACAACTAAGATAATTCACATTCTTTGCCGTATCTGTTAATATCTAATTTGTAGCCCTTTTTTTTGTTTTGTTACATGTCGTGATAACCCAAGGCATTAAGCGGATCAAAAACTGCCTTAGCGTGTCTGGGAACCATGATTTCAGAGGCAGCCCATAGCTTTGCAGCTTCGTTCGAATTCGACCCGAGTTTCGACGTCGATGCTTCGTTGCAGTCTTCGAAGTATTTTCCGCTGGTATTTACTAGTTTCGGATGTGTTGCTACGTAACAAGTTGTTGCAGCTGCCTGTATCGACAAACGAATGTTCCCATTGTTCATTGAAATCACCCACCTCAACTTCGTTAATCAAAAACTTTTCTTTGGATATGGAAGTTTACCTGAGGGATGGTCTTGAGGAGCTTGGAAGCTAAGAAGAAAACCAGATCTACAGGTTTATGTAGTAAATAAAAATATTAGATTCTACTGCGAGAGTTTGAAAGTAAAAACAAAAGGCATGATGTTAATTCATCCGTAGAGTTTGATAAAATAATCATTTTATTTTTTAATCTTTTTTATATATTTTGATATTTAATGTTTCATTTTAAAGTAAAATATTTTTTGGCCGGATGAAAATCTTAGTTGACTAACAGTCAACACCGATGGTTAACAGGATAAATCTTAGGGTAAAATACACATTTAGTACCTAAACTATTAGTTTTGGTCTATTTTAGTACTTAAACTTTTTTTTTCAAAATCATACCTAACATTTAGTTTTCATTTCATTTTAGTATCCCACCACTAAAAATTTAATATTTTTAATAACTAAATTATCAATTTTGGACCATTGTAGTACCTAAACTTTTAATTTTTCAAAATTTCACGTTAAATTTTGAACTAGAGTACTAAAATGAAACAAAAACTAAAATTTTTAGTAGTAGATACTAAAATTAAACAAAAACTAAACTTTATGTATGATTATAAAAAATTTAAAAATTTAGGTACTAAAATGGTCCAAACTGATAGTCTAAATACTAAATGTGTAATTTATCTTAAATCTTATATATATAAAATGATGATATAACATATTTCATATCATCACTTATACACACGTGCCATGTG